ACTTATTATTACATTAGTTTTTGTTGTTTTACTTTGAGTTGCCTGTGCATTCGGTTAAGAGATGACCGAATGTGGCGGTAACACTCATTTCCCTATTTTAGACTTCCGCTGTACTCTTTAAATTTCATTATCAATAAATAAAAGTTTTATTTCAATTATATCAATGTTTTGGGCGGGAAATTTGGGGTTGTTACAATTTCACTCGACAAGATCTCCTCTTCACGCGCGTACAGATCACCGTACCCTATGCAACGTCCCATCCAACAGCCGCATTAAATGCGGCCACATGCGTTTGCCAGCGCCAACCGGATGAGGTGACCTCTCGTCCAATGGATGCTTGACACGTGTCCCTGTCCGACATTTATTGCTACTATAAATAACCCCCCCATTTCCCCATTTGTGACCACGACATTCAAACTGAATACACTCTCTCTCTTACTTACTTGTGCTCTGACTTCTCTCTAAGTTATTCTCAGCAATAACCCTTCGGATATATACCCCCGGGTAGACTATCCCTCATTTGGTGCTCTCGTTGAGAGGTCGAACAATCGAGTAAGAAACCCTCCCCCTTCGCCAAACACTAGCCCTCTACCAAAATAGTGAGAACAACACGTGTCAACTCCAAAAACGTAGAAGACAAGAACCTGGCCCTCGGCGACGTCAACGCCCCCGAAGCCTCTCACAGGGCTCCCGAGGGCGGTGTTATCGCTGGGCTGGAACAGGCGGCTGTCGACCTACGCCTTCAGATCCAACGGAATGCCCCCGATGCCCACCTCGGCATCGAGGCCAAGAAGAAAAACCGGAGCGATGACCAAGTCAGCCCTCCGGTTCTCACCATCGACGTGCAATCGGCGCTCTCCGCCTTCATCCAAACGCTCACTCAGAACCCGGGTGCCTTCGGCACCCTGGCTCCGGCTCAACCCCAGGTTGGGGAGAACATCATACTTCCCCCTCTGCCACACCCCTTCGGAAACCCCACCCCTCGGGTTAGGAACGACGAAGGGGTAGTCGCCCACGATACGTCCTCCCAGGAAGTTCAGTCCCGGGACCGCCACAATGACAACAGAGAAAGGCCCCGCACTTCCGCCCTCAACCGGCTCGGAGGAGGGCCAGATCGCCGAGGGGTCCAAGACCGCCTCGGGGGAAAAGCACTCCAAAGACCCCAGGAAAGCGGAGGGTCTGTTTCGAGGGAAGACGAGGAGCGTCCCCCTCAGGACAAAGGCAAGGCACCCCTTCATGCCGATGATGCTCGCCACCAGATCAACCAGGCCCACTCGGCCCGGGTTCGTTCGCAGGGGGCGGAGACCCTCCCGAAGGATCCCCGGGATGAAATTATTGCGACCCTCCAACGCCGGCTTGACGAAATGGAGGCCAACAAAGCTCACGCCACCACCTCCACCCCTCATTCAGACCTCAAATACGAGGCCATGATGGCCAAAATGGAGGAATTACAGAAGAAGGTGGCCGAGGGCTCCGGGGAGCCCGTCATCCAGCTCCGGACCCGGACGCCATTTACCCCAAGAGTACTGGCGGCCCGGATCCCGGAAAAATACCGAGGGCAACACATACAGCCCTATAACGGGAAGACGGACCCCCAGGAACACTACAACAAATATCAAAACAGCATGATGATGGTAGGGGCGTCGGACGAGTATTTGTGTCGTTGGTTCCTCTCCACCTTAGAGGGGACAGCATACGAATGGTTCAACCGGTTGCCCGAAGGCTGCATTGATTCGTGGCAAGAACTCGCCCAGCGATTCTTGACACAATTTGCCGGGAGGCGTCGCACAAGGAAGCACTTCTCCCACCTCCTAACCATACGCCAGAAGAGGGATGACCGGGACCTGGTGGTGCACCCTCGACCGCAACAAAGTAAGCAAATAAGGAAGCAAATCTCACCTTCCCGAACAAGACACATGTCATCACGCACTCCACTCTTGGCTAAGATAAGAAGACAAGGACACACAACGTCCCCTGGCCCAGTGCCACCATCGTCCACAAAACCAAGAACACACAACGTCCTCTGGCCCAGTACCATCGTCCTCCTCGGCCAAAACACAAAAGGCAACCACCAACGGCCAAAGAGAAGAAGCACCACCGTCATCGGGTACTCAAGTCAAAGACGCATATCGGCCACTCAGCCAGGACACTCATCATCCTCAAACGAACAAACGCACATCATCAGAGGAACAATGGCCCCCTTCGTCAAAAACGAAGGGCATACAACGGCCAAACATAAAGAATAACCACAGCGCCCCCTGCGTTGGCCAAAAACTTCAAGATTGCAGGAATCTACTCTCCCTCACTTCGTCTACATCTCAGCTAAGAGTGTGGGGGACTCCTGATGGAGTATATGGGTCTAGACCCCAGGACCCACATACTGAGAAGAATAAGAGGCACAGTTGTCACTCAGTGGGACCTCCGTCGGCCAGATGGTCCTCCATCGGCCAAAAATACATCAATTCAGAACATGATCCAGAAGTCAGGAGAACCAGGTGTCTCCGTCGGCCGGGTCTCCGTCGGCCGGGTCTCCGTCGGCCGTGGCTCCGTCGGCCACAGAGAGCTCACAGAACCGTATTTCATACTTAGTCATTTCTACATACTTTGTACTCGCCCAGTAGTGGCCCAATTGTAAATGGGCCTCCCAAGCTCAAGACTTGGAAGCCAGCCCACATTTCCTCTATAAATACTCCCCTTGGGAGTAGTTGTAGGGGTTGGGAAATCATGTATTACAGCATATATTACACTTCTCTCTCTAGCTCTCACTTCTCTCTAGAATATATACTCTATCAAATAGTTATATAACTTATAATAATGATCACACTTGGACTGTAGGAGTAGTAATGGTAACAATAATAATAATAGTCTTAAACTTCTTATTGGTGTAATTGAATGTGTTAAGAGTTACCAAGATAAGATCTAAAGTAAAATGTTCATATAATAAATATTCAAATTAGAAAGATCCAGATTGAAAAATCACAAACATTAGACAAAATCAAAAAATCTATTTAGATCAGAAATATTAAGATCGAATCAGATCAGATCTTAAAATTTTTAAGAAGAAACGTTTAGATTAAGCAATTGGACGCCTTGATTATTAAGTTAAGGATTTGGGGCGTCTAAACACATGTTATATTGAATTCAGCCCAAAGTTCTAAATTTCTGATCAAATTAGAATAAAATCGAGTGAAATGTGTCTACAAAATTTTACAATGTACAAATTGAAAAAGAAATCGAGTTAATATTGTCAAATGTCAACTGTCTTACCTAAATTTATTAATAGCTAATGCTTGTGTTTTAGTTACACAACTTTTTTTGGAAGAATGTATTGGGAACTTCTGTTGTCAAATGCAAAGACAATTGTTTTTGGTCTGAATTTGTAAGGTTGACTGAACATTTAATGTACTTTATATATAGTAAAACCATGTAAATAATTTCGATACACAAAACTAGTTTAAGAGTAGTCATCGAGTTGAATGTTAAATTCTTTTACGGTTGATCGAATGCCTAATTAATACATATTGCAGAGTAATATTTAGTGCACCCAAATATGAAAATCATCAATGAAACTAATTGTCGTATTATTCGTACAATCACACCTCACATTAGCCAGCTAAGATAGGCGCATGTAATCATAACATTCTCCTCTTGATCTACGCATGTAAGGCAAACATCATTAATCCATACATGTTGAAAGAGAACTATGTATTATGTCTTTAGATGTGTAATTAGTTGTTTTAGTTAAGATTTGATTGGTCGTCAACTCTAATAAATATTTACTTCTAAAGTTTTCGTTACCAATTTTTACTGTTGGTTGACCTTTACATGAAGGGTGTATATTTGACTTGATCACAAGGAATGACATGAGTTTAACAAGTGGGAGTGATTCAAATCTATTTATTGAACTGGGAATTAAGAGCGATTTTGTGTGTGAGGTAAATAGGTAATGTACAAATAATGAACCTAATGGATTATTCAGGTGACTTGAATTTACTTCTTTCAAGGGTTTGGACCTTTGGGTGGGCTCTTAGGAGCCTAGGATTAGTTAGTCTAGCTTAGTCGAGATCGCCTGGTGCTAACAAGAAGGGAATAACCCGAGTCTCTTGAAATAGCCTTGTCAAAAGGTTCATATCTTATAGTAGACAATTAGACATTCCTAGACGAAGCTATTTTCAAATTATTGAACAACATTTGATTATCGCAATCCTCAAACACTTCAGTCAAAATTCATACTTTGAAAATCTCAAAGCCCTAGACAAGACACACAATAGCGCTCGTTGAACCATAAACTTAAATCATGCTAGCCATTATAAAAACCTGATATTACATTCCACAAGGTTAATCAGGAGAATTTTATTTCTGGATGTTACGAGTAACATTCCCATTAATGCTTCTTTCGAATAATGTATGCCCATAATATTCAGAGCAATACAAAGTAATCATCCTTTTTAGTAATACACTGTTGGGCATAATAGGTTATGGTCCTAGTGCTGCAAATAGGAATAGACATGAGCCGATGTAGGACTTCTGGCCCCCCTTAATATAGTATTGTAGACTTGTAGTGATCAGAACAAGTCCAGTTCCGGATCAATAGATCTGGATCAGATTCTGGTTTGATTCCTTTCCTATTCCTAGGGGTGGATTCGGTTCAGGCCACCCGACCCGTGACCCGGCCCGGCCCGGTACTGTGCGGGCCCGGGACCGGCCCGGTCGGGCGGTCCGGAACCGGGTATGGGCCCGAAACGGTGGGAAGGGGCGGGACGGGCTCGGTGCTGGAATAATGTGACCCGGCCCGGCCGGGTCGGGCCCGGCCATGTCGGGCCCGGGTCCGGTCCTATTTTAAAAAAAAAATTAATCTTGGGCTACTAGCCGTTGGGGGTGGGGCTGGGGACAACCCAAACGGCTATATAGCCGTTGGGTGGGGTAAAGGGGGGGTCCGAGGGGGTTGGCTGGTAGGGGGGGGTGGGGGGGGTGGGGGGTAAAAAAACCTATAAATACCCCTAATCTTAAACATTTTTTCATATCTCTTCTCCAATTCTTCCTAAATCTTATTCTTAACTCTCTACTCTCTAATTCTCTTATTCTCCAATATATTATATATCTACTCTCTAATTCTCTTCTCCAAGAAGTTAAGATGGAAAATCAAAATGCCATTATACGGTATAATTTTGATAAGCAGAAGGACCCGAAGACCGGGATGTGGTACGCAATTTGCAAATGGTGCGAAAAAAAAATGTATCATGGGGGCTTCAGGCGGATTCGGGATGGCAATCAAGCATATGAAGTAGGGATGGATTCGGGCCGGGTCGGGCCCGGGCCGGGCCTAGGCCCGGTCGGGCCGCCGGTTCAAGAAAAGTGGGCCCGGGACCGGCCCGAGGGTTGGACGGGTCCGGTTCGGGCCGGGCCACCCGCCCGGGTCACGGGTCGAGTCCGGTTCGGGCCGGGGCGGTTAATTTTTTTTATATATAATTTATATTTTATAGTTTATAGTTTTATACGAGTATTAAAAACAAACTTCAATTGCATTTATTTGAAATGAAATAGGAACTACATTTGAAAATTAAAACAAACTTTAAGAAATAAACATTTTGAAAATTGTAATCAATCGGAACTTCCTGCACCTCCCGATCCTTTGGCTTTGTCACATGACTTCATATGCTTGATTGTCATCCCGAATCCGCCTGAAGCCCCCATGATACATTTTTTTTTCGCACCATTTGCAAATTGCGTACCACATCCCGGTCTTCGGGTCCTTCTGCTTATCAAAATTATACCGTATAATGGCATTTTGATTTTCCATCTTAACTTCTTGGAGAAGAGAATTAGAGAGTAGATATATAATATATTGGAGAATAAGAGAATTAGAGAGTAGAGAGTTAAGAATAAGATTTAGGAAGAATTGGAGAAGAGATATGAAAAAATGTTTAAGATTAGGAGTATTTATAGGTTTTTTTACCCCCACCCCCCCCACCCTACCAGCCAACCCCCCCCGGACCCCCCCTTTACCCCACCCAACGGCTATATAGCCATTTGGGTTGTCCCCAGCCCCACCCCCAACGGCTAGTAAACCAAGATTAAAAAAAAAAAAAAATTAAAATAGGACCGGACCCGGGCCCGGGCCCGACCCGGCCGGGCCGGGTCACATTATTCCAGCACCGAGCCCGCCCCGCCCCTTCCCACCGGTTCGGGCCCATACCTGGTCCAGGACCGACCGACCGGGCCGGTCCCGGGCCAGCACAGTACCGGGCCGGGTGGCCCAAACCGAATCCACCCCTAATATGAAGTCATGTGACAAAGCCAAAGGATCGGGAGGTGCAGGAAGTTCCGATTGATTACAATTTTCAAAATGTTTCTCTCTTAAAGTTTGTTTTAATTTTCAAATGTAGTTCCTATTTCATTTCAAATAAATGCAATTGAAGTTTGTTTTTAATACTCGTATAAAACTATAAACTATAAAATATAAATTATATAAAAAAAAAATAACCGGCCCGGTCCGAACCGGACCCGACCCGTGACCCGGGCGGGTGGCCCGGCCCGAACCGGACCCGTCCAACCCTCGGGCCGGTCCCGGGCCCACTTTTCTTGAACCGGCGGCCCGACCGGGCCTAGGCCCGGGCCGGGCCCGACCCGGCCCGAATCCATCCCTACCTATTCCTAATAGATCAGTAATCTTTAAAAAATAAAATAAACGGCAGTAGTATTTTGTAGGAACCAGATTGGAAAATAAGCAATTACCAGTTTAATTCAGGTCCAATCAACAGGTTCAATTTCTGCTTAAAAGGGTTGGTGTCGACCATGAACCATGTTTGCGTCCATGACTAGCTGTAAAACTAAAGCCCTTTGATTTTCTTCAGTTTCTACAAGTTCAAATTCCTTTTATATTTGTCTTAGCCATACATTTAACCTCCTCAAAAAAAGTCAAAACCTCGTATCAAATGACAGGGTATATATAATATATATGGTATCTAGTCATAAATTATCTATTAAACCATTCATTCAAAACAATGATCACATCACAACAATACCAAAAAGGGTGTTGTCATCTGCTTTTGGTGAGGGCCTGCCTAATCTTGTTGAGGCTGCACACTTGCTTTCTCTCGTGGAGGTATTGTAGCAGCAGGTTGTGCACTGCTTTCTTCTTGATTTTGTCGTGCGCAAGGCCTCCAAATTGTTTCATTATTACCAACATCCATTAACTCAATGCCCTTTAAGGCCAAATCTTTCCTTATCTGATCGCTTTTACTGTAGTCCCTCTCTTCCCTTGCTTTTGCTCTATCACCAATTGACTTCAGAATATCTTCCTCCGTCAATTCTGCTCTTTTCAGTGCTTTTTCTTTTAATTGCTGCAATACCTGTAAAAAAGGAACAAATATGTCAGGAGGATGTCATCATAAGTGGGTCCCGTACAACACAGCCCCACATGTGACAAGCACAATGGGTTCAGAGGGTTCACCTCACAATAGCTTAAACTGGATAGCAATCCCAGAACATCCAACACTGCCCTCACTTCTTTCTCCATGTCCATAATATCATCATACAAAAGTTGTTGTTCCTGTTGCTTCAACTGCTTCTGTGAATTCATTACTATTATTATTAGAGAAAATGACAAATATAGTACTACAATGAAAATAAATGACAAAATATGACTTTTAATAAGCAGTGACCATAGAGCTATATACCAGCGAGCGTAGAGACCTTACTAATGTTTAATTTTAAACCGTGAAAATGGTGGTATTTTTGCAGTGACTATAGGGACCATGTAGTCATTTTTTGTCCATAAGTTCAATTTTAGTTATATTATATGGAAAAGCCCAATTACCATAGAATATCCTCAATATGATGTCAGAAAAAAAAAAGTAACATTAAGAAGCAACACTTCTGGTTGTAACCTTCAGCGTGTTCCTATTCATGACTCTCAGGACTCCTTGAAGAGCAGCATTTAATATAGAAGGTGTGTGTAAATCATCAGAGAGTCTTGACTCAAACTCATTACGCAGATTTTCTATGCACTTTTTTGCATCAGATGAACGACGACGACCTGCTTTATTACCGCTGCTTGTATCAACACAATTTTGCATCTTTGAAGTGGCTTCTTTACAATCTTGTAAGGTCTAGATCACAAAATAAAAATCAAATGTCAAGAGGGAATCAATATAGAAAAGTGGGGATAGGATACACATATATGCTATCCCACTTTGACATAATCCAGGCTGTCAAAAGTATTTCCTTACCTGGTATATATAGAACACAGAATCTGAACCAATTTCTATCTGTGAAATCGCATAATTGACAGGAGAACGGTAGTGTGTCCCCATCAGGAAATATCTCAATGCAAGGGGATGGTAAAGCTTGGTAACCTTTCACAACGAGATGCATAACAATCCAAAATTACTGTGACCTTGATTAAGAAATAACTAAAGCAATAATACAAATCATGGCAAATATATGACTGAAATAAAAACAATGGACAAGACGTGCCTTTAACCCACAATAAATATAGTGATTGTAGACCAATAGTGATGTAAAATTTTACCCTAGTTACCATAGAGATCATGACGAATGTATCATCATCATTACCTCAGTGCCGCAAAGTCTCCCACCTACAGTGGGGTAAGGGGGGTCGGATGTATGCAGTCTTACCTTTGTACTAAAGCACAGAGAGACTGTTTCCAGTGACCCATGGTGAAAATCACCTCAAAAATTGCATGGACTGACTGCTACTTCATAACAAAGAAGAGCAGACAGTTTAGTGAGCCATTTTGCTTTATTCCATCATGACGAATATATGACAAACAAAAATAATGGACAAATTTGCCTTTTACGCGCTGTGAATATAGTGACTGTAGATATTAGGGCGATGTTCACTTTTACGCTATGGTGAACATGTTGATTTTTTAGCAGTGACTAAAGACAACATAGTCATACCCACTAGTTATATTTTAATAATCCTAGGGTAAAAATCCCTGTTAGAAAAAAACGAGGTTATAAATTCTTAATAAAATAACCACATAAATACCTCACGGATTGTGAAGAAATTTCCGACTGATTTTGACATTTTTTCATCGTTCGCAGTAACAAATCCATTGTGCATCCAATAATTCACTTTACTGTCAGGGCAAGCAGCACAGCTTTGAGCAATCTCATTTTCATGATGAGGAAATATCAAATCCATACCACCACCATGAATATCAAATGAGTGAGTCAAATAATGAGAACTCATAGCACTGCACTCTATATGCCACCCTGGCCTTCCAAGACCCCATGGGCTTTCCCAACTTGGTTCACCAGGCTTCGCTGCCTGAGAGAAGGGGAAACAATTTTAAAGCATATAAAATCAATAAAAGTAGCTACACTTGTGAAATCATAAAACCTCCACACCTTCCACAAGGCAAAGTCAGCTGGATTTCTCTTCCTAGAATCAACAGCAACTCGTTCACCAGCTCGGTTATCTTCTAGTTTCCGTCCAGATAATTTACCATACTCTGGAAAACTATCAACAGAGAAATACACATCACCATCAACTGGGTAAGCACAGCCATTGTTTATTATCTGCAAATGGCATTTTTATAGTTTGAGCATAGAAGCAAATCAGACATAAAGCACATACCATAAAAATTTAAGCTGCAATAGAAAACTATTTCATCTTTCCTTTCCCTTAATATACGCCAAAGATAAGTACATGAGAATATGCATGGAAAACAAGTCAAGGATTTCAAAGGACATAGCACTATTATTTGATCATCATCTTCAAAATTAATATATGGAAATAATAATTGCTGCCCAAATTTAACTACCATCATATCACACCCCAAATTAACATTGCTCAAAGCAAAACCAAAGAGATTAACTTTGCACATCAAAACAAGTTGAAAAGGTGTGCCTCATATTGCTGATAGAGTATATTACCTCATTGGCTAGAACAGAAACAACCCAAGTGCCAGACCCTCTAATAGCTTCATCATGGCAAAATTGCCAATCACAGAAAAATGAAAAACAACAAAACCAACGTGAGAGAAGAAGCACGTGAAAAGTAAGTTACCTGTCCTATCATTTCCTTTATTTGATCCATATGCTCTGTAACACGTGGCTGATGGGTGGGCATGAGGCAGTTGAGATCAACCATGTCATTAAGAAATTCTTGGCAAAACCGACCACTCAAACCTACTGGGTCCTCCCCAAGTTCATTCGCTCTCTTAATAATCTGATACAACAACATTCAAGTCTTAGCTTTGAAAGATTTTGGGGCCGACTAGTGTGTGCGTGTGTGTATATATATATAATAAAATTCTCCTTAATATATATATGGGGGGTTCAAATACAAAGAGACATTCCCATGCAAAGTGAGAATCAATTTTGTGCATTCAATTCTAGATCTATTGGCTCAAAATAAGCCAAAAATGCATTCCATTCAATTCTAGATAACTAAACCAAAGTTTTTTGTCAACGCGCAAAAGTGTGACAAAACATGAAATAATGCAACGCATTGAACGAAAGTGAAACCGTTCGCACTTTGCACGTGAGCATCACTTTTTATTTGGACTCTTCCCCACCATAAATATATATATATATAAGAGAGAAAGGATTTTTATTAATACAAGCCAGAAAGGGTACAAAAGGGATGAAAAACATAACTGATAGCGAAGAGAACAAAAAATTACTAAAAATCACCGAACCCAAAGTTGTTTATCCCTAGAAAAACCCTGAGTGATCTAGTATGATGCGTGTTTGAAATCTAGTACAATGAGTCAGGGATACTGACTTATTTTGAGTGATAGAAAGGTTAAATACCTGAATACTGACGTACAACCTGATCGGGTCATTTACAAACTGAGGTTTTCGTAAAACTAAGCTTTCTCTCAAAACTAAGCGTTTTCGCAAAACTTGGTTTTTTGCAAACTCAACTTTTTTCGCAAAACTCAGCTTTAGCACACCTGATCTAGTCCACTCACTT